CCAATGTGATGCTCCCTCCTTAAGGGGGTGATATGGCAAGCCCATTCATGAGCTTGGGAAGCGGCTTTCTGCGTGCAGTATTTGCCGTCTTCGAGACCCGAGGCGCGCCATGGATCATGCGGGGTTCCTTCATCAGACTGTTATCGAGCTTCGCCGGTGCTGTCATTTGATGCTTTAATTAGCTCGAGACACAAGAGGGAAAGGACGGGTCACAAACCTCGTGAGACTAGCCGGCTATAGTCCCCGGACATGGTGTTCTGGCTCCTACTACCCCCTCCAAAGGATGTGGCGCTCGCGGTTCTCCAGAGGTGGTTTGACGTGTCAGATAGGAAATCGGTCATACTACGACCGGAGAAAATAGAGGATCGGCCCCGATTGCGCTTGGACAGAATGATCTCATCAAATAGGATCATCCGAGGGTCTCGCGACTTGGGATTCGCTCTCTCCCGTTCGCTGATGAACTCGTTAAAGCCTAGTGACACGTCAGCAATTGCGACCACCGGCTCGTAAGCCACTGTGTCTTACCTTGTGTCTGTTGCAGAACAGCAATATATTCCGCATGCTCCCCGGGCAAGCTCTTCATGAAGGCTTCCATGTTGAAGTTGTATGTCAACCCAGCTTTCTTTTTGTCACCCGTGGCGGGCTGAAGGAACTTCTTGTATGTGTAAAACAGGCTGGCAAAGCATCGGACAAACGCAGCGCGAACTTGCTCGGGGTGGAAGGCGGCCGGACACACAATGCATATCTGGAGGGCGCACCGGTTGTGCACCACTGTCTTACAGGCGGTACACTTGTACATGTTTTCTTCTGCCTGGTCATCGCAAATTGCACAGGTGGCCTTGTCGTCCCACGGCTGTACTTGCAAACAATGTCCCTCCACCCAGCAGGTACCCTCTGCGTTGTGAATGGGCTGCGCGGAGGCCTGGGGCACTATCGTCGACGCAGCGACTGTGGACTGTGCATACACCGAAGGTGCGTAGGTGGAACCCGGGTTATAGTCGGTATTCAACGTAGTTACAGACAGATTGGGTGCGTGGCCGAGGAAGGGAGCACTGGGCCGGCGTGGAACACCGGTACGCATGTCCATCCCGAATGAGGAGCTACGCCGAGATGCTGCATCAAAGTGGCCGGAACGTTTCTCGCGCAGCGATGCCTGCAATGTCGTACCGGAATCAGCACGGGAGCCGGAGACCGACGGGAAATGGCCGGACGTGGGCGAGATGTCTCTGGGAGACGGCGGGGAGCCGGTCTTATGCGTGGAGCCAGTTCCCGGTCGGTCTAGGCCCTTGGACGAATACCCCCTTGAAGCAGCCTGCTCATAGCGAGCATGCAGGTAGGCGTTGAAGATGAGTGGGGGCTGGGTATTTGGGGTTACAGAAGTGGCTCCGAAAGCGCTCGAGTTGAGACTGACGTACTTCGCCAACTGGGTAGACTGAGCCTTGGACGAGAAAATAGAGGAATTCTCCGACATGAATGAATCGAAGGGGTACGTTTCCACGGCATATGCCGGTGGCCCAGTGGGTACTCCGCACCGAATGTGATGAGGAGCAGCCAGCTGAAGCAAGGATAGTAGCTTTCGGCGCTGATGACGAGGGAGAGGGGTTGGTTGAACAGTGCTTTCGATAAGGTCGGCATCCAGGTCGACCAACACAAAGTCATCTGACGGAAGCTCGACCTTCTCATAACGACGCTCAATACCTACAATGTAGGGACAAGGGGCTTCCAGAGCCTGGATGAGTCGTGCGGGCAGGATGGGAATAAGCACACCGGCCCACTGCAGTGGGAACAACAGGTCAACGATGGCCTTAGTCGCCAGGTACAGCATCGATGTGTGGGATGACAAGAGGATAATGCGCGACTCCGTGAGAGCGTACTCGAACAAGATCATGATGTTCTGTAACGACAGGGCCCGGAAGAGCGCATAGAGGTCGGTGTTTCGAGAGCCCGGCAGCTCATTGGCAGCCTCCTTGCGAGCAAAAAGACGCAACTCACGCACCGCAAGCTCCACCTGCGTCTTGGACGAGTGGGGACTGAATGCCTCAGTGCACAGGTTCATCACATATCGCTCCAGGGGTTGCCAGATGCCCATGCGTGGGGAGCTTTGGGGAATCCGCTGGAGACTGCCGTCCGTCATCGGAACAACAACAGCCTTCAGCCATTCCTTCCAAAAGCTGGTCATATTTTCCTCTCGGCCCAGGATACCGTAGGCGCGGGGAATCCAGAATCCAGTATCCCCGTCTGTCAAACCCTCGATCTTCGATGCTGCACCGTGACGGACTGGCCGCAAGAGATCGGTCATCAAGGTGATCTTCTCTTCTACGGCACTGATCTCATCTTCCAGCTGCTCTCGGGACTCTGACCCTGAAGGAACGGTGGGTAGCTGAGCGAGAAGCCTGGAAAGTTTAGCTCGCTCACTTGCCAGCCTCTCACCCAGACTTGCCGCCAACTCCCTCTCTTCATCGGTCATGTTGTCCTTCCGCCACTCCTCGCAGCGCTTTTCGAGTTCTTCGGCCGCTCGCTGGTTGAGTGGGATCCAGATGATGAGACAGATGGCGTGCAAGCGTGAGCCGTTATCAGTAGTCATGACGAAACCGTGCCAGGTGGATCGCGGCCTTTGGTCCGACGAGACTATATTGATGTCGTTCGGAAAAGCAAACATGGGTACATAGTCCGGGAAATTTCCTCGCAGCTTCAGTTCGTCGGACATGCCCTTTGTCGGATACCGGTCGAGCAGGACGGGCTCGAACCTTCGCTTTAGGGGGTGCATGGCGGGGGAGATTTCGAGCGGTTGCGGGACAGGTATCACGGAGTTGTAGTTACTCAGACGTCGCGAGGTACGGATAGATGCTGTAATAGTCCGCCGTTAGCCATCTATATTCTATACTCCCTATTGTCGGCCGCCCCCTTCATTTACCCCACCAGGATCTCTACTCACCTTGACGAGCAATCGACGGTTGCCTCTTCATACTGTTCATATCGCGGAATGCCATATGTCGCCGCACACTACCTATGCTAGACCGGAGCAGGCTCGCAGGCTGTGGGGTCTCCTCGGAGACGATCTTCTGGGTGCGTAGTCTGGATCTGGGACGAGTCGAGGGGGTGATTGCGCCCGCGCTGACATTGAGATCCGACAGAAACGACTCCCTCTCCGACGCGAACTTAATCAGCGCTTTGTCAAAGTCGAAGTCTTCGAGAAAGGAGGAGCCCCGGGGAGAAGGGGCACCCTTGATTGTCATACTGCTGCGGTTGCTGTGGGTGCCATTCTCGTTGGGTTCGGGGTCGACCGAGCGCATGGAGAAGCGCTGGAAGGAGGTACGGTTTCCCGCCATGGAGATGGGACGGGAGAGACTGTCCAGATAGGAATCCTCCTCGGCATCGGCATCTTCCTCGATGGTATCTGTGACGGCGGGGCCCGGCGAAGTGGCATTGTTGGCACGGTACTCATCCCCTAACCTGCGATAGGTTTCCAAGACTTCTGTTCCATCGACACCAGCAATCCAGAAGTAGTCGGCGAGCGGGGTGGTGGATGCTTCGGGCGGGGAAGAGGAAGAGGAGGAGGAAAAAGGCATCTCGTCGAATCGTCGCTGAGAGATTGCAGGGTTGTACTCATCAATCGTCACAATTCGTCGTGGTCGTCACAGCATGGAGTAAATGCAATTGCTAGATGTTCTGAAGTTCCCAGGAACATCAACAGTGGGGAGGGAGGGGGAGAGAATTTTCAAAAATTAGGGGGGAGGGGGGGGGGGCTTGTGTTGCAGAATCACGGGCGGGTGGTGAAGACAGTAGTAGTAGTAGTAGTATTAGCAACTAGAACGCATAAGTCAAGAAATGCGACGCTGTCGCGAACGCGAACGGGCAGGATGGCTGGGGCTCTCAAGCGTCGGTGCAGATGCAAAGAGGGGAATAGAAGGACGAATTGCAGAAAGACAGATGCTGAAGAGAGGAGACGATCTGAAAGGTTGATCTACGCATTGACAAGAAAAAAAGGAGTGTCGGTTAGTGGAGGAGGAGGGAGAGAGGGAGAGCGTGAGCGAAAGAGAGAGAGAGAGCGGAAGAGAGACAGGTGAGGGGGCCAAGAGGGAAAGGGAAAGAGAGACAAACTGGATAAAGGAGGAATGCTTTGACAGGTGTCTCTTTGTGTAGGAATGGGAAGAAAGTTAAGTTATGGTTCCTTAATTTTTTAAAAAAAGACTCCTAACCTTCTTTATTTTTTCTTTTTTCTCTACTTTTGGATATTAATATTATTTTTTATTCTTCTAATTCTTGCTTGACTTCAATGGTCATGAATTTCTTCTGCCTTAAATTCTTATGATATAATTTTTTATTTTTCGAACTAGACTCACTACGCAGACGGATGGTTGCGTAGACACTGGGAAGGGAGGGAAAGCGAAACGGCTGCCAAAAGTCCAATCCAGCCCCGGCACCCCCGTGTGTTCCCCCCCTCCTCCCTCTTCCTCCTTCCTCTTCCCCTTCGCGGTGATCTGCTACTAGTAGTAGACTGTCCGACTGCTACTTGCTACTGCTACACACTGTCTGTTTACTTCCTCCCCTGCGCTCTCCTGCGCACACGCACTACAACCACATCCGTCACTTGCTTCAATCTTCCCTTTCTGAAGTATTTAGTGGAGTCTTCTCCCACAGGTCGATCCGATATTCCACATCTATTAATTTCAGGAAAAGAAAAGATACTCATAGAAAGAAAGTCTACCAAATGGTTGGAATATCAACTACATGTGGATCATGTCAAACAAAGAAGATGGTCGGAAAAGGGAGAGGCGATAGGAGCAGGCAGAGCAAAAGCAATGTGCAGCCAGAGAAAAGAAAATAACAAATAAACGTGCAGCTCTGCCCAGATTGGAACCGGAATACAACGAGTCGGTGGGACATCTTCCTGCTGCTACTTCGGAGTACTACTGCCGCTCACCTACTATTTAGTAGGCAGACGCAGTTCCCAGGTACCAACAACCTTTTTCACTACCCCCCAAGTCCCGGGCGCGACCATGAACTACTGCAAGTGTGCATGGTTGGGTGCGTCCCGCCAACCACCATTCGCAGCCGCGCAGCAACTCCCGCATCAGCTGTGTTACGAGGATCCGCTTGCTTGCTTGGTCCGGGCAGAAAAAAAAGGAAAGCAAGGTAGCTGATAGGACGTGCCAATACTTGGTGCAGCTGCCGCTGCTTCCTCCTACCAAGGACTACTGTGATACTCGGTATAACTGCTGAGAGGTATGCACATAACTCACTGAGTACAGCTAGGCATCCGGAGCACAGAGGAACTTGCATCCGCATCTGTGAGGGACAGGTACGGCAGCATATCAATCGCTGGGCCCTCTTGTGGATCCCGTCGCGCACAAATGGCTTGGCTCACCGGCATCTCTTTGCTCCTGAATGGTCCTCGTTGGATCGCTGCAAGAGAACTACCGTTCGGAATAACCATGGAAAACACAGACCATTACGTCTTCTCTTATCGTTACGGCCGCCGAGTGTTGAAGTTTGGGGCTGAGAAAGAGGCCATGTGGAGCACTTGGAAGAAAATGCGGGATTTCGAGGCCACTATGGTAATTATTGTTATTCTTATTATACATCCGTTGGACACACAGTTATCGCTCCTCTCATTGTTTGTGTCCGACCGACAGGCTCGACCGTGCAGTGAATCGAAGGCTAATTCCATACGCACACGCACACAGCCTGGGGCGAAGGAAGTACGGAGACTAAAGGTAGCAACATCGGAGTTCCTAAATAGGTAGGTAAGTGCCAACCAGAGTTCGGAGATCGCTATGACAAACGATGATTGGAGGACCAGCAACGCAGCCTTGAATCCCATGGATCCAGAAATGTTAGAGCTGAAACTGGAGGGCGGTTCCTGAAAGGGGGAAAAGGGTGCGGTTATCTCTGGACCAAGACAGCCGAGGTTCTCACTTCCGCATTGTGGGAGTAATTGCAAAGGAGCGAAGCGCATACCAAACCAATTTCTTTGAACAAGATAACTCACTGATCTTGTGGGTACAAAAATTTTAGCACGATTCTGGATGCATATTTTTCATATTTACCTCAGACAAAAAGAAAGGAGGTGGATCCTCTGGACTCTCGCACCCGACCACCCGAGAACTCCAAGTCGAAATGGCCCGGGGTTGCGTTGATGATCAATGTGGAGCTGAAGCAATGACGATAATCCGGTGCCAAAATCTATTTCGCCGGTCGACACCCGAGACGAGACCAGATATTAATTTTGAGCAGATAAATGATGAAGTTCAATTAAATATTATTACGATGAACACTATCCTTATATTGTCGAGACATGGATTCGTTCTCTAACTCACGCACCATACCCAATGGGGTAACATCACACCGTCACAGTATAGATAAGACACCGGCATACTACGTAGATTGATGAACCAGTTTCACCATTTTAAACTTAATCCAACCAGTGCCCCTTAACTCCGGCTTCATAGGGCTCAGCGTAAGAAGAAAACCTCATGCATATTACCAAATCAAATCCCGTATACTAACTCACTATCTATAGAGGGAAAACAAGCCACCACTCACTCACTCATCTCAGGCCGCCACCAAACACTAAGGCATGTACCCACCACCACCACCACCACCACCAAAGGCAAAAAGAAAATTCATAAATCCAGTGGCTAGTACAGTAGGTAGACCAAACCCTGCAGCAATCAATGTGTAGGTTTTCATCATACATGCATACAATCTAAACCACAAATGGACAGCAATATCAGCCTTCCCAGCCCAGCCCATCTTTACTTCTTAAGAAAGAAAGACGGGAAGAAAAGATGAAGAAAAGAAAAGAAAAAGAAACCAAAGAGAAAGTTCCAATAATGGTTCCTTGCATAGCCCTACTTCCCCGGACTTGCTTACCCGCATGATTGATGCAGCACACCAACCAAGCATTTTACAGTAGTTAGTTGGTTGCTTCAGGATTTCCTTTTCATTTTCACTTGATTTTTGAACTCTACGCAGCTTGCCTTGTGGACTTATAAGAGAAAGAAAAGAAAAGAAAAGAAAAGAGAATCGGTGATGTTCCGACCGATCTACTTATTGTTATCTCCACTGACTACTAACGCTACGGAGTATTCATTACGGCTTGGGGGTTCTCTTTTCGCCAGTTGAAGTTAACAGTTTCCCTAAGGTAGACTATTCTACTCTCTTCTACGGGGCATAGATATCTCCATAAATACCATTTATCTACTAAAACCCACTCCTATTCATCATCAAATATCAATACTATACTATCCAGTATCGTCCCGCAGTGGATGGACATTTGACACCTCTGACAGGGACGGAGAGAAAGAGGGAAGAGAGACTAGGGGTGGTGACTAAACCAATTCGAACATACAGTTACATAATAATTCCTACGTAGTAAAATTAGAGGATAAAGTAACAAATTTAAACTTTTATCTAGCTGTTTTGTAGATAGAGTAAATAATTTTTAGTCAGTAGATAAGTACTTGGAAGCTGAAGAAAGGGGTCGGTCGGTCGGTCGGTCGGTCGGTCAGTCAGTTGGTGATGAGAGGTTGGCTGGGACGGAACAACAGCGCCGCCCGCAGCACCATACACACACACACACACACACACACACACACACCGTATAGTATACAGCAGGTATAGCCAGCCCAGCCCAGTCTGTAAGGCAGAGCAGTTGCATGTTCTGGACCTTGATCAGCCCACTGACTGACTGACTATCATCCAGTGTACGGGGATGGATAAAATATCCGTGTTATCCCTTATTATAGCAAATGATGTCTTTGATTTTCGAGACATACCATACTAACTGTCGGGAGGGAGAGAGAGAGAGAGAAAAGAACGCCAGCGAGTCAAGTTAAGACATAACTACTAAGTACTAATTATATCCTCCCCAAAATTGAATGCCATTGTCAGGGATCCTCTTTCTCTTTCTTCGACATCCATGCAAGGCCAAGAAAAAATAAACCCCCAAAGTAAATAAATCCCAGCCAACTCTAGCCTAGCCTAGTCTATTCTTCATCTTCTTTCTTTTCTGTCTGCGGGGGCTAGAACATCCAAATGCCGAATAAACCATCCGTCAACCTGCCACTCAGTAAAAAAACAGCCTGGTTCTATTTTATTCTATGGAGTACGTACGTATTCTATTAATTCTCCAGGAGTGGACACATGACAACAACTTGGGCCTTTTTTTTGTTGCTAAGTTTGAGGTAAATTTAGGTTTGACCTAGGCCTATCTAGACCTGAGTACTGGACTTTCTCTTTCCCTTTTACCCTTCTTCCCCGACCGGTGGTCCGTGGGGACGGTTGGACGGATGGTCTCGACCGCTCCCGGGGAGAATTATCATGTTATCTTTAGGTTTCAGGGTTGGGTAGTCCGTAAATTTTGACTATTTGCTGAGGTACAGGAGGGTGGTTGGTCAGTTGGATGGTTGGTTGGCTGATTGATGATCAACTACGTAGTACTCCGTGTTTACTTACGGTGCTGACTGTGTTGCACAAATAGCACATGGGTGGTCAGTTGTGGTAGCTCATTTATAACTAATCAAGGAATATAGTAATTCAACGACTCCTTCCTTATGGGGAACAAAATCTATCTAAAGATAGAATGGAATACGGCCAAGCTTCCGTCGGCGTTAACGGGGGGCGCCGTCGGAAGGTACCTTTTTTTTGGTTTCTTCTATACACCCCTAGACTAGTACTAGACTCCCAGATAAGCCCCCGAACATATGATGTTAGTCTCGTCGTTTTTCTTTGTCCCGGTTAAACGTGTGTAACCACCACGCAAAATGTCGTAAGCTAGGGGATCAGGATTGGCTGCCCTGAGAAGGTTCGCATCCGTGCAACATCCGCTTGGCTCCCGTCTCATTCATTCATCTTGTGTGCTGATGCATGCCTCCGTGGAGTCGGTGATTGGTTGAAAGAAATCACCGGTGAGCTTGTGAGTCTTCAGACTGCCACACACGGAGCTGGAGGGTTCTTCGGGATCTGCGCTGGCATCGTTGGCTGCAGTGTCTGGAATGTGTGTCTGTTGTTGTTACACAAGGGGGGTCAAAGGCCAAGAAAAGCCCGCTGCAGTTCAGGTACACAGCAGAGAGACAGTAAGCAGGAAATATTACGTCCGATTGGTCTGTCTCATGCCCGTCTTCGCGTCATCAAATTACCCGTCGTTAGGAATCCTTTGTCGCCCATCGCGCCTCTCCACTCAATCGACAGCTGGCCCAGCACGGCGCGTCCGTCGCGTTTCATGTCTTTCTGCAGGGTCTCCAGCCCTTCCTGTTGGCCCTCTTCTTGCTCGACGAGGAATGCAACCTGCAAGACATCCCGCGGATGTAGAGTCGGTGGCCGCGGATCCGCTTGATCCGGTCCTTGTAGATCCCAATTGAGAGATACGGCCTTGAATGGCGGTTTCGGATTGAGCCTCGTTTGCTGTCAAAATTAGCATGTCGCCCAGGAGACGTCTCACTTCGGCTGTGATTTGTGTTCGACGAACCTTGACCACCACAGGACCATCGCCTACGTTCTCTAGTTGCGCTTCCAGAGCAAACCGGAGCAGCCGGGTCTTGCCATATGGCCCGAGTGACTTGTTCTCGACTTCCAGGGGCGCCAGCTCTGATGATTTGGTTCGAACACTCAAACAAGGCTGTGCCACGAATTGATAAAGCTTGCGGAAGGTTCTCACACGCCCGCTGGCTGCTTGCGCGTCCGACCCAATCAATGTCTCCGTGTAGCTGACACTAACCGCCAGGATGTGATTCCCTTCCTCCTTGAGATCAAACCGTACTATTTTCTGTAGCGAATGGCCCTTCTGTACCCCGTCCTTCGGAGCCGTGTCTTCGGCCGGTTCTAGGTCTAATGCCGCTACCTGCGATGGTGTTTGCATCTCTGCCACTATACGAACCGATGTGACGACGCGCGACGTCTCATCGTCTGGCAACTCATTGTTGGCGCTAAGAGTGCATGCAAATGTCTCACCCACATACGCAGACCCAAACGCCGGAGGTAGGGTTAACTTGTCGAACAGTCAGTATGGTCATGACTAAACTTGGACGGTCTTCGTACATTGGGAGTGAGGATGAACTGGTCGTCGACATTATCGGCGGGATAGCTGAGTGATGCTTTGCTTGAAATCTTCGTGTCTGCCGCTGGGAGGGGGTACTGATAGGATAATGAGGGTCGCGATAGTCTTGCACGGTCAGGAACGAGCGGAGCCGTCGGGCCATGTTCGGTGCTTACCGCAATACTGGACAAGATCAGCCAAGGTACCGTGATAAAAGGGTGTCCCAGCAAATCGTACCTTTGAGAGAGACTGCATGTGGCTCTTTAGGGGCATCAGCGCCCGAGTGAGCGCGCGGGCGTGCCATGGAGGGATGTGAATGCGAGTTGAACCAGAGCCGGACGCGGCGTCATTCCGTCGTTATCAGCGCCGCACTAGCTTCAAGCAAACAAGCCAAATGAGGCAAACCGAGCAAACCTCCGCATTGGCCGGGATACGCGAACTATTGGATCATCCCTGTTCAAGCTTGACTTGATAGCTCCGATTTCTTACTTTCATTAGACAAATGGAGATATCCGAACCAGCCTTGGGATCGTCAATGTGACATCTATAGTAGATCTTGATGCTAGGCAGGTCATTGATCACGATTCCTCCCAGATCTGTCATTTCTTTGGGGATTAGCCTGATTATGTCATGATCCGATCTGATTGCTTATCGATTAGGGGCCGTTTACTCCATACTACGGAAGCCGCCACTGCGACTATTCTTGTCTTGCTACGCCTCCTTTCTCCCTTTGTCAAGCTCCTGGCCTAGAATAACTTCTGGGTTCAGAATGGGAGTGACACGTAGAACTCCTTCTCGCCAGCAGCATGCGAGCGCCTCCACGCCTACGGACGCTCGAGCTACACACTCAAGAGCTGTGGCAAGCACTCCCGCGTCGTCCAGGAAGCGAAAAGCGACTGAACAGAGTGTCACACCAAGTACGTCATCAAAGAAGTCGCGTCGATCTGCTCCAAGTGGCCCTCCTCAAGATTCCGTCGAGGTGATCGATCTGACTGGCGACACCCCTAGCCCT